CCCCGCTACTCCAGCCTCCCCTCCAACCAGCTCTGCTTCCCGCTGGCCGCCCCTCCCCTGATTTCCCCCAGCCAGACCTGCTGTCCTCGATGCCCGCCCCCGACCAGCCCTGCTTTCCAGCCCCCCCTTCCTCCTGGCCAGCCCCGCTCCTTCCCGGCCGGTTCGTCCCTGCCCCCCCATCAAGTGTGGCCGTTTTTTGGGTTTTTTTAGACTACCTGGTAACCATAGCTGCGGGGGGCAGGGCGGATGCTTGAGCCGTTGTGCGTGTGGGGGTAGGGCAAGTCCCATATGGTGCTTTGGGGCCGCAGATGGAGGGCATGTGACCTAAGGTGGGCAGGGCTGCCTCTGCAGCGCTGCGCAGCGGATTATTTTTTATTTTTACAGGTTGATATTGAGCCCAATTGGGTCCAAAAGTACCTTAAAACCTTCTCCTGGAGGAAAGGTTATCCCATGCAAAGTTTGGTTGCGGTAGGTCTTATAGCGTCCAAGTTATTAGAGCACAAAAATACAAACATTCTCCATTAGATTAAGTGTCACAATCTACTTGGGTGATAGGTAAGTATTAGCATTGTCTTCTTCCTAGATAGATAAATTGGGGTTCAGACTGCCCAGGGGGTCCATGGGAAAGCCAGGATAGTCCCTGAGTCTCCTGACGTCTAGTTCTGTGGTATAGTCACAAGATCATTTCCCTGATATTAGGGGTAATTAAAGGTATAGTCTTAGGCTACGTCTACACTGGCCACAATTTCCGGAAAAGGGATGCAAATCAGGTAAGTCAGAATAGGGAAATCCGTGGGGGATTTAAATATCCCCCGCGGATTTACATAAACATGTCCGCCGCTCTTTTTCCGGTTTGGGGAAAAGCCGGAAAAAAAGCGTCTAGACTGGCGCAATCCTCCGGAATAAAGCCCTTATCTCTTATTCCTACCTTTGTAAAGCCCTTTGAGTTCTACGGATGAAAACGTGCATGCACTCGGGTGTGACCTGAGGTAGGAATAAGAGATACTCCGGAAAAGGGCTTTATTCCGGAGGATCGCGCCAGTCTAGACACTTTTTTTCCGGCTTTTCCCCAAACCGGAAAAAGAGCGGCGGACATGTTTATTTAAATCCGTGGGGGATATTTAAATCCCCCACGGATTTCCCTATTCTGACTTACCTGATTTGCATCCCTTTTCCGGAAATTGTGGCCAGTGTAGACGTAGCCTTAGTGTGTGTAAGACTGAAAGGTAACAGGGAAGGTGAGGGCATTTCTAGTTAATGTTAAGCAGCAAAACTCTTTAAGTTATTGCTGGGCTTTGGGAGCTGATGTGCTTAAATGTATCCCTTTTCTAATGTTTTTCACTCAAATAATGTGCAGACAGCCATGTGACATTGTTAGACATTAAAACATTCTGATAAAAATGCTTCCTCCACCCTTTAGCTCTTGAGTGATTCTAGAAATATGAAAATAACAAGCTTGCTTTTCTCTGTATGTTTCCTTCTAGTGACTGTTCTGGCTATTTTCCATGAGCTGCATGTGGATACAGATCTGTATACCCTCCTTTTTGGGGAAAGTGTCCTAAATGATGCTGTGGCTATAGTTCTGACATAGTAAGTACAAGCATTTGTAGTCTTTAAACACTGAAATAACTTTGAATTATCTTGTTAAATAGCTCTTGCCATACAAATATCTATGTAGAGTTTAAAGACTGCATTAAAGGATTAAACTTATGGAAATATAATTGTCACATTAAGCACCCAATTTCCAATATTAATGGGAGCTATTTATCTAAACTGCAATTATTGATAGTGAATACTCAGCCCAAAATATAATAAATGTTTTAAATGTGTATATTAAATCTGATATATATTTTATTCTACATAATGTGTCTGAATGGAGCTGAGTTACTGGATCCTGGAAACGTGGGAGGATTGCCAGATTGGAGGCAGAAACTCAGGACTAGAAGCTACTTGTTGGACCTCTCTGGTCCAGCACTGTTGGGAACTGACAGGTTCTGGACAAGGGAGTTTGCTGGACCAGGGGAGGCGTGGGCTCTCCCAGGAGTGCTGGCTTCCTGGCTGTCCCCTTTCCTATGTGTTGCCCTGCTCCTGGATCCCAGCAGTGGCCAGTGGGCTGTGCTCCCAGTTCAAGGGCTGTAGGACTGGCCAGGCTGGGCTTTGCTAACGACCCCTTGCTGGACTCCTAGCCAACAGCCACTGGCACTCTCTGGTCTAGGGTTGTCTAGTCCAGAAACATCCGTGGTCCTTCTGGACCAAGGATGTTGCTGGACCAGAGAGTCCCGGACCAAAGAGGTTTAACCGGTATCTCACACTCTGTTGTTCTGCAATCAGTTGCTTTCTAAGGCAAAGTCACAAAACAGAGAAGTGTAGTACTGCTTATCATTCTATTAAAACCAGCAGGCTTTCAGCCAGTATACATAAGATAATATTACAAAGCGCTTCTCAAATGATGGGTTTCATTTATCCTCAGTTTATAATTCCATATAAACACAAACCCTAACTACTGTGATTAGAAGCTTCCCAAGTTGGCTTCAACTGCTATGTATGGCGTAGCCCATCATTCTTTTTACCATTGTTAAAAAACCAGACTACCTCTCTGACTTCACACTCTGTATGCTCTCTTCCAATTTTCATAACGTTGCCAATTCAGACCTGATTTTCATCAGCATGCCAAAAGATCTTTCTCCCAAAGGACTATTTCCCTGCTAAATGTCTTCCTTGGATACTACAGTTGTTCAAAGAATGGAATTTTTTTTATATTGGGAAACATTTTCTCTCTCTTCATAGTCAAAAACCATTTAACTTTTTTTTCTAAAATTATCCAGAAATATTTAACTAGCAGTTAGTAGTCCTGGAAAATATGGAGTAGTTCAGAAATATTCCAGCAATCTTAGATATAACTCTCATTACCTACTAAGGATGTCAACATGTAGTTGACTACATGATGAACCGATAAGCCTGGGTTTATAGAATCATAGAATCACAGAGCTGGAAGAGACCTCAGGAGGTCATCAAGTCCAAGGCAGGACCAATCCCAACTAAACCAACCCAGCCAGGGCTTTGTCAAGCTGGAACTTAAAAACCTCTAGGGATGGAAAAACCTCTAGGGATGGCTATCCAATAAGTTTCTGGACTGCATTGGAGACAACTTTCTGTTTCAGAAGGTTGAAAAAGCTACCAGAGGAGAAGCTGTTCTGGATTTGATTTTAACAAATAGGGAGGAACTAGTGGAGAACTTGAAAGTGGAAGACAGTATAGGGGACAGTGATCACGAAATAATAGAGTTCATGATCTTAAGGAAAGGTAGAAGGGAGACCAGCACAATTGAGGTTATGGATTTCAGGAAGGCAGATTTTGATAAGCTCAGAGAACTTGTAGGTAAGGTCCCATGGGAAGCAAGACTGAAGGGAAAAACAACTGAGGAGAGTTGGAAGTATTTCAAAGGGACGTTGTTAAGGGCCCAAAAGCAAACAATTCCGCTGTGTAGGAAAGATAGAAAATATGGCAAAAGACCAGCTTGGCTTAACAAGGAGATCTTGCATGATCTCAAAATAAAAAAGGAGTCATATAAAAAATGGAAACTAGGACAACTAACAAAGGATGAATATAGGCAAGCAACACGGGAATGCAGGGGCAAGATTAGAAAGGCAAAGGCACAAAATGAGATCAAACTAGCTACAGGCATAAAGGGAAACAAGAAGACCTTTTATAAATACATTAAAAGGAAGAGGAAGACCAAGGACAGGGTAGGCCCACTGCTTAGTGAGGAGGGAGAAGCAGTAACAGGGAACTTGGAAATGGCGGAGATGCTCAATGACTTCTTTGTTTCGGTCTTCACCGAGAAGTCTGGAGATGTGCCTAACGTAGTGAATACAAGCAGAGAGCGGGTAAGTTTAGAAGATAGGATACACAAAGAACAAGTTAAAAATCACTTAGGAAAGTTAGATGTCAGCAAGTCACCAGGTCCTGATGAAATGCATCCCAGGATACTCAAGGAGCTGATAGAGGAGGTATCTGAGCCTTTAGCTATGATCTTTGAAAAATCATGGAAGACAGGGGAGATTCCAGAAGACTGGAAAAGGGCAAATATTGTGCCCATCTATAAAAAGGGGAATAAGAACAACCCAGGAAACTACAGACCGGTCAGTTTAATGTCTGTCCCAGGGAAGATAATGGAGCGGGTAATTAAGGAAATCATATTCAAGCACTTGGAAGGTAATAAAGTAATAGGGATCCAGGACTCCGTCTTCCAAAGAAATCTAAACATATCCTCTGTAAAAACTACACTATCCCAGCCCATGATAGAGCTAAGTACCAACATATTTACAGTCCAAGATGATGAGTCCTGTGTTTACAATTCTGGTTTTCATACTTCACTATCAACTGAATAGTAGATTCCAATTTTGAGGATAAAGCATCATTTGCCCAAGCCATATTAAAATATTTCAGGTGTAAAACTTATTTTGAAAGTTTCACACAATTCATGAAGACGTACGACATACAGGGAATACAAGCCTCAAGGCTTTTCCAGGTTGGAAATTTGGGTAGATTTCTTTGGGCACAAAGGAAGATGGTTGGGAAAGTTGGGAAAGTTCCTTTTAGAACTGCAGAGAGAAACTCAACAACTTTTAAATTTGGTAGGTTTTATACTCTTTGATTATGTTTTGGGAATCCTGGATTATGTTTTTATTCAAATGTAAAAAGTAGTTAAACTTGTTAAATATTTAACAGGATATTTTGAATTTTAAAACTAGAAGCATTTTGTTGGGTCTCTAATCTAGAAGGTAGTTCTGGCCATTGTAAGATGGATACAGCCCTTGACTGCGTTTTCTAATACAGGACATTTTCAGCAGATGTAAAATGTACTAAGTAAATCATGGGAAAAGATGTACAAAGGCATTGTTCCCAGAAGACTTCTTTTTAAATCTTTTCGTAACATTATGTAGTTGCTTTGATATGCACTATAAAAACAGAGGATAAATATATTTCAGAAAGCTAGTTGAGTGTTCTGATGATTATTCTGTGAATTCTAGTACAGATCAAGTACTGCTGTACTATATTTAAAAAGGACCTCACACAAATTTAAATGTTTTAAAAATCCACATGAATGGATGAGGTGCTACACATATTTTTAAGTCTTACCAGGTATTTATTTTTTAAAATCTCTCTCCTGCATTTGTGGGTCTCAGATTAGAGAGGGGAATGGGTTAAACTATCATTTCATAAACACAAAACAAAAAATGCAGACAAGCTTTTTGTTATGACAGTGTTGGGCATAGGCAGCAGGTATCACGGGATGGCGGTGCCTTCCCAAGTAAGCTGTGCACGGCTTGCTCATGCTCTGCCCCCCAGACACCCTCCTGTTTCTCAGACTGCTGTGAGGGATTTCTCCCGGTGGCTGGGTTTAGAAATTGGGGAGGGGACTACGCCACCTGTTAACTTCCCCCTCCCCCAGTGCTCCAGGGCAGTGGAGCGCGGGGATGGGGTTTCAGGGAGAAGGGGTGACCCAAAACAGGGACAGAGCTTGGTCCTGCCTTGAGGGCGGGGGGCTGGACTCGATGACCTCTTGAGGTCCCTTCCAGTCCTATGATTCTATGATTCTATGGAGATTCCACCACTTCCCTAGGTAACCCATTCCAGTGCTTCACCACTCTCCTAGTGAAATAGTTTTCCCTGATATCCAACCTAGACCTTTCCCACTGTAACTTAATCCTTTCAGCTACATGCATTCCTCCACCCCTTTGCTGCCTCTGTATCAGAGGAAGCAAGAGGGGAACGGGAGCTAGTGCACATGAGCTGGCCTCTGTTTGTGGGGAACTCAGACCCTCCATGTTCAGGGGCTGCTGTTGCAGACCAGTATGTGTCCAGTGTTCTCCTGGCCTCCCTCCCAGGGACCCCCCTGACACCCTGTGCTGCTGCCTCTCTATCAGCAGCAGCGTGGGACAGCAAGCCAACAGTCTGCATGGGGAGCTGGTTTTTAAACTGGCTTTCCTGGTGGACCAGCTCCCACCTGCCACCCCATGCTGCTGCTGCAGATAGAGAGGCAGCAGTACAGGATGTCAGGGGGGCTCCCTGGGAGGGGGGCCAGGAGTGCACTTGCTGCCAGCCCCACCCCCAGGGACTATTAAATAGTCATGTAACCACTAAGATTTCATGTGGTTACATGACTATTCAATTACCCGATATCTAACATCCCTACTACATACTCTAGCTATATTAAAATATGAAAATAACTAACGAGTGAACAAGGCTCCAGTGCAGGAAAGCAATCCTATTCTGGAATGCAATTTGGCATGTACATAACTTGTATTGGAGTCAACATAAGTTATGCTAATATTGAAAGGTAAGCAAGGATAAAACTAAGCACATGTATACATCCTTCTTGAGACTATCTATAATGCAGCCACCTCTGGGATGGGAAACAGCAGCTGTTTGAGAGTACCAAGCGATATTACTCAGAAGCGCTTTAAGGACAAGAATTTAAGTTGTAAAGTGAGTTTTGGTAAACAGTACATCATGATCCCTTGTTGTGACAACTTATTTTCACAGTCAATAGATAATTCTCGCAAGATATATAAGATTAGCATTAA